ACAAAAAACTCTTGAGTTTTCTTGCAGAAATGCACTTTTTTTGGTTTAAAAAAATAAGTTAAAGAAAATTACCACATAATTTACATTTCAAAATTTCCAGAAAAACGCGTGTTCGCAACAGTTTTTCTGTAAATAAAACAGATTTTTTAATTAGGAAGAGAAAAATGGTTTGAATTTCCGGGCTATATGCGCAGTTCTCTATTAAAAAAATGAAAATGTCCGAAAAAAGTACGTTAAAATTCCATATTTGCCATTTTGCAACGTGGTACCTTTTCAGCATGCAAAATTAGTTTTAATTTCTAAATTCAATTGGACAGAAGAAAGCTGCTTTTGATTGATCGAATTAACTATGTTTTATCGCCCGAGAAAATTAGTGGAATTTAATTCGTTCTAGAAAAAAAACTTCAATGGTTTTTCTGCAAACAAGTATTTTTCGGATTCTACATTCCCTTGGGCGCAAAAACGCTCTTTTGAGTTTTATTGGTGAAATGCACAGTTTTTGATTAAAAGCAAAAAACTCATCGGATTATCCGAGAAAGCTACTACATAACTACTACTACTAGTAACTAATCTTTTATGAAAAAAAATTATTGTGACTTCGGAAACAATCCGAGATCGCTGTCGTTTTCATAAGTCTAGAGGAATTGTCCAACCTTTCTGTGATCTCGATGAGTTAGCACACAAACCACGCATCTATGACTTTTTTTTAATGTTCATTGATGATGGTTTAAACACTTAAACACTTAAACGTGCGGGACTATAACAATGGGCGAAGAGTTTTCGGTTTGATAATCTAATAAAAATAAGCCCAAAGGCTTCGAACTATTATTAAGAAAGCAAAGCCTTCAAACCAGCCCACAAACTTCTAGCTAAAAAATCGCTCATTCCCAGTGAGGCCTTGTAAGAGAGCCTTTGTTGTGATGGTCCAACCAGATGCTGATAATGCCTTGACATACCCAACGCGATAATCAAAGTCGCCATAATCAGTTGATTCAATGTTGTGTAAAAAATGAAGGCGTGAACTCCATAAATGAAAAATGATTCCGCCTCTGAATGCGAAAAATGCGACATTGCACAAGCGTTAATTCCACATCAGATGCCTAGCAGGCGTCTCCTTAATTTCCTTTTCAAGGTTCCGATCTTTGAATCATCAAACTCGAGTGGCCAGCATTGACTCGTTCAGGGCGTTCACTTATAGTAGAGCTATTTTCCTGCTAAATTGCCGCATTTCCATCGTTCAGATTTAATTAAAAAATATTTTCCTGCTCGCCAAACAGGCTGTTATAATTCCTCCATTTTACTCCCTTCTGATACAATTCTGGGTAAATAAATCAGCCCTATAGGGCCGAGATGCAAGTCTACATGATAGCATAGTTAGTTGCGAAATAAATTTTAATAAATTCAATTTGCTGCTTCATTAATGACTTTTAAACTTGCTGAAAATAGAAAGAGCATCAGCCACTGATACAGGAAAATTTTGAATGTTTCAGGCACTTAAAGGCCGAGCTGCAACATCTGCGGCGAAAAGGAGCGTTGAAAGTACCTTCGGATCTGGAAAGTGCCACTCCTGATCCGGATAGAACATGCGGTCGATGTCGCATCGAACTCGGCCGAGTGATCAATAGGGGAGCCGAGTGCAGGGCGTGCAGATTGAAAGTCTGCAAGGGCTGTA